CACTCACCTGGTTCATTTGAGCTGCATTAGGTGCAGGTTGCAATCCGAAATGCATCAACTGGGCGAGAGCCATGTCAGCTAACTAGGTGATTCAATGTCTTGTAGCGTCCACAACAAACCAATTAGACCCTGGTGCGAATGCCACGCATGCGACGCCGCGCCGCAGCAACTCGCATCTCTCCATCCATATACTAGCATTCCATGTCTCCATTTCCACTTTTCGCGTAAAATTAATTTTAATTTTTTTATACCCTGTGATCGGAAGAATTTCTTTTCAGATAAAATTGCACCAATAGTGACCTCATGCCCACGGAATATTCGAAAAGTTTCACCAAATCGATTGACCAGAGTAGACTGGAACACCAGCTACATGTTCACCGATAATGTTGGTGTTGCATCTGTGACGAGTAACTATCGTAGCGGACAGTTGTTCACATGGTGAGTACTGTAGTTTTCGTAGCGGGACCCTTCATTGTCGTTTCCACTTATTTGAGGGGATTTGTACCTACCTGGCCAACGTCAAAGGTGACTGAAGGTCGAACATAGACGTTTCATGTTAACAGACATGAGAGCCTAATGCATCTTCCGATTTCCGGCCAGTTTTCGCTTCATTCCTCTCCACGAAAATGGAATTCGGATCTGGAATAGCATACACTCAGAGGAAGCGGAGACAAGCAGAAAAGACATGCCTACACCTGTGACCTTGGCAGCGCGGGCGGAGCGATATTCGCGAGCAAATCGATGAGTATGATTTGCATGGGCAGCTGGCTGCACTCACGCCAAGAACAGGCGCGTATAGGCAGCTTGCCATATGCATCCGGTAAACACAAAGAGCGTGTGAAGATCGAAGCCCTACGTTCTATTTCCTCAAACATGGGAGTCTCCCGAGCGTTTCGTTTTCCGATTTCCGACTTTTTTTAAGACGACAAAGAAGACTGCGCTCACTACTGGCCAAGTGCAGTAATTTCCAGACGGCTGGGTCGACATTCTGTAACATTCTCACGCTAGATAAATTTAAACCAGGTGCGAATGGCGCGCGACATGGCGCCTTAGCTAAATCGCAAAAGTGAAACATCATACACGTACAAGAGGCGGCGGCTAGCAGAGAAGACACGCCTCCGCCCGTGAAATTAGCGACGCCAAATGGGCGAAGCGATACTCGCAACAATCAATACGTATGATTTAAATAGGCAGCTGACTGCACTCACGCCAAGTGTAGGCGCTTGCCGAGAGCTTTCATGAGGGAACGAATAACCAAAGTATTTTCCAGGGGCTACTACCGCGTTGTCTACGTGGCCTACGACGCTGCTAACAACACCGCCGTCTGCTCTTTCTCAGTGGTAGTCTCGCCCGCGGACTGCAAAGCGCCGAAGGCAGATGAGCAGGTAACGCAGATGAGCAGGTAACCATTTTACATACCGTAGTCTTGAGCACTACGTCACGATTTCATTTACAGCTACAAGGGGAACTCACCGTCGAGCCGGTGAATGGGACTGATTCACTAATGAGTGCCCGCATCACAATGCAACGATACGTTCTACCCAAGACATGACCCAGATTTCTATGTTTGTGACGTTATGGTAAGTCAGTTGTGGATTGTTCGGGTTGGGAGGGGGAGGGGAGTCATGTCAGGGGTGCTGAAACCCTACTACAACAAATGACTAGAGAGCAGCCTACATAGAGCGAGCTAGTGTCGGCTGAAACTCAAATGCGTTCGACTTTATGCAAGTTGGATCAACTATGACCTGAGGGCCCTGCAGTAACCCCTGCGGGTCTGCGGGAGTGTGTGGGCGCGGCTAGCCTTTTTATAGTTTCCTGCTTTGTACCTCATTCACAGCGATTTTCAGGGACAATGGAACCGATCGACGTATCTGCCTGCAAGTGGCAGCTATACCTTCCCTTCCTGTGGCTCCACACAGGATCCCGTGCAAAATATCAATGGAAGCCTAGGGGATTACGGTGACTGTTCCACGGTTAGTCGTTTTATTGAGCGATAATTTGTAACCATTATAACCATTATAATCAATGGACTTTGCAGATACGACAAGACCTCAGAGATTGGCTGCTCAAAGATTTGTGGCCATACTGTTCAGATCAGAACTGTACGGGACAGGTGATCCATGAAAATTTGGAATATCAACAGGTTACAATACCTATGCGTTCACTCTCCGCGACTCGAGCGATTTAGTCGCGCGATTCGAGAACCAGCCGCCTGTGACCAACTCGATCTTCGGTGCTGGTAGTTGGACAGCTGCTACGCTTGAAAGGGATTCTTCCCAGGGCACATCATCATCGGGGACTTCTCAACAGGAGGATCGTATCTGGTCGCTGCGTGGGGGGGACGGATCGGATTTGGTTTAAAAGAATTTTTTATCGAAAGTTGATTTTTCTTGTTCCAGGGACGTTACAAAGGGAGTCGTATTCGTTCGATATTGGGAGGGAGGGGTCGTATTTGCCTTCTGGCCATCTGAGAAAGGTTGTTAACTTTTCGTGGTTTTCCCTGTTTCATAGGTACTATTTACCCCTTCGCCCCGCTCCCCGCTCGACAGCTCGGTGAGGAAAGAACTAGGGGGAGCGGTCGAGGATGGGGCGGTCGTACGGACTCGGCCAAAACCTCCATCTAATGGTGTAAAATGCTTCTTCTCTCAACGAGAATGACTTGGCAGATGCATCGCGCGCTAGCGATCAGCACTCGAGCTGTCGCCGACGCGCGACAGGATCGCTCGAGCCGCGAAGTATGAACGTTGTTTGAAGGACACAGTACATGCCGGTCCCATTGGTAGAGCATGAGTAGAGAGGGCCAGTTATAGTGGCTTGCTGAGCTGGACGCACTAATGAGCAACGCACAATGATCTGTGCTCTCCCATACTACCACTGTAGACCGGGTCTTTAGGGGCAGACAGGTATGAGCAAATGGTGGGTTCTTAGCAAAAATTCAGAAATTCGATGGTTCGTTAGCGGCATTGTGTCAACAAAAAACTTCTCCGAATATTACTGTTCAATCGCGCTGAGTTATTGTTAATTTTTAATGGTTTCTGGCCTACTTGAGATGCTGCGAAAAATGTAGTAAACAAAAATGAAGTAAATAGTAAGATATTAGACCTCTGTGTTTAGTTATGGATCGACTCAAACTGCACGTCCAGTGGTGATTCACGGCTGAAGCGGTCTATATGGGAGGCTTTCTACAACTTTCATTTCTACGCGAAAGTCAAGTAAGTGTCTTTTGTTTTGCAACAGCGGAAAAGTATAATAAGAAGCATCCGACATTGTGCAGGTTGGAACTAGAAGGTGCTGAGGGCTGAGCGATACCTTCCACAGTGATAGCAGACAAATACCTGAGGAATGAGAGCAGGAAACCAGTATCAGAAGCAAAAAAAGCGCTCAGGCTGCGTCACACTTTGCGGCAGCGTCCACCAGCGACCAGCAGCGTCCGGGAGTGGAGAGTATGGGGCGATAGGAGGGTAGCAGACAACTGGTAGAGTATGCTGAGATGGCAGGGTAGTAGAGGGCGACGCTATGCTATATCGCTGTCTTGGTAAACGGCTGGCAGACGCAAGACAATACCATACTTCTCCACCGCGACACGGTGCTCATTGCTGGTGCATGCTGGCAGACTCTAGATCGATATACACTGCGAAGCATAATCATAGTTCCACCCATGAATCTCACAAAATCCCGTCTTACACGACGTTTTCAAAAATGCCCCCATACAAAAAATGTGGTAATTACCAATACCAATTCGCATGCCAACTGAAGAACAATTTTTTTTCGTCAATTTCTTGGAAAATGGTCGTTCTGACCAACAACAAGTGTACAACAAAATGAATAATCCAGTAATCTACTGGAGCTTTATTTCGCCGATTAAGAGAAAATACGCTTGCCCATACTCGATTAGAGATTTTCAATAGGCTTTCGGCTGACGGCTGATTAACTCCCTAAGCTCACGGACATTGTGGAATTGTGCATTGTTCGCATAGATCATACGCACCATAAGGCTCCTCACATCCTCGATTGGGTTTAAGTCGGGGCTACTCGCTGGCCAGGGCAAAAGAGCGGTTTGGTGACGACTGAATCACGCTCAGCCAAAAACTAACCTTACTCCAATCGGTTCGGCAACATCTTCTAGCAAAGCCAATTAGGTTTTCGCGATGGTTTTTTGTTAGAAACAGTGCCTAACTCATATTCCTCCTGTAGGTGAACTCAGGAGTTTTCAAGACACGCCTAACAGTATCCTTCGAGACATTAACCTCCGGAGATGACGACACGACACTGCAGAGTTGGATGCTTTTTCAAGGATACGGCGCTTATTCCGATCGGGCAGCAAAGGAGGATGTCCAGAGCTCTTCTCAACTCAATATCCTGTAGGTTCCTTGACAAAATTGTTGATAGCATGATGAGTGCGGCCCAATCCCGTGCGATTCGACGGTTCAACAGACCTTGAGTCTTCTTTGCAATAATCTGTCTTTTCGAAGTCCGATATAGATTTCCACTCGCCATAGCCTAGAACATGCAAAAAGTCAATG